AAAATACGTACTCAACAAATGTTCACGATTGACTTCCACGGTGAAGGAATAACATCGTGTAATAAAAATCAAATCCGCAAAATTATAATTTGCGTAATCACTGGTGGTAGGACCTCTTGGGAGTCCGCACGGGTAGGGACCACCACCCCGCCTGTTTCCGCCGTGAAGCAGTAATGCGTTTCGGTTCGAAGGGTGGGGTAGCCGTTGTAACTATACTGAGACCTTAGAACTTATATCTCGAGGTGGGTGGCGCATTTACGTTGTAGATGTCTATGGGCTCCAGTAGCCACTTAACATCAGGTGGGCTTTGAGCTCGTCCATCCATCAAAGCAATAAAAAAAATTGGACCTTTTGTTTAGAGTTTCTAAAGACTGCGAATCACTTTTCCTATGTTGGTTAAATTACTTCATAAGATCAAACCGTAGCGATTACGAGTTGCCCTGCTTTCAAATATCGCACGATTGATTGAAATCGGTTCGAACGTTGATAATACTTGATTCTCTGCATCGGTACATAAACTGCTATTAGCTTGTAGCTTGTAAAGGGCGTGCTGAAAAGTGTTGGATGGACTGTGTGTAAGAGATACGTGAGTACAGAGATGACGTAAGATTGGCCCGAATGGAAAAGAGGATATGCGGCGTCAACTCCGCATAATGTGGGCTAAAAGAAAAAGCTTAGCTTGTTGCTTTAGGTAGGTATTTTCTTAAAATATCTTAGTAGTACAATTAAATAAACTTAATGTGGATTATGTTTTTAATATCATTATCAACAGGGGGCGTAGCTCAGATGGTAGAGCGCTCGCTTAGCATGCGAGAGGTACCGGGATCGATACCCGGCGCCTCCAATATATTTTTTCTTACAAAAGTACTTAAAATAACCCGGTAGCGACTTCATTGATTGACTCTGGGTATTGCTGATCTACGCGACGACGCTGACTCCACAGTCGGGTAGTAGGATCGATAATCTACAATGCCAATATTGAGAATATGACCTTTTTTGAGGTCGGTTATCGAAAAAAAATCATCAAAATCATAATGTTTACTCATTAGTTGGTTGCAGCGCCGTGGTCTTTAGGGGCGAGTGTTTTTTTTTTTTATTGCTCTTGTAGGCAGACGATCACACGGCCCACCTCATAGTGAGTGGTTACCGTCGCCCATGGACTTCAGCAATGCCAGGGATAGAGCCAAGCCGCTGCCTATCGCTAAATTTGTATTAAATGAGTGTAATTTGCAATTAAAATAACGTAACTCAACAAAGACTTCCGACTTACACTAGAGTAAATGGTTGCAGAACAAAACTATAATACAATTCTATTAATTTATTTACTGGTGGTAGGACCTCATGTGAGTCCGCGCGGGTAGGTACCACCGCCCTGCCTATTTCAGCCGTGAAGCAGTAATGCGTTTCGGTTTGAAGGGTGGAGCAGCCGTTGTAACTATACTGAGATCTTAGAACTTATATCTCAAGGTGGGTGGCGCATTTACATTGTAGATGTCCATGGGCTCCAGTAACCACTTAACACCAGGTAGGCTGTGAGCCCATCCAACCATCTAAGCAATAAATAAATAAAAAATATTATTCCAACATCTACACCATGATCAACTCACGTGCCAAGTGTCACATTAAGGTTTTGAATTAAAATTTTAATAGTGACATTTCCATCGGCCCTATTAACGTCCCGAAAGGTTCTACAAACAGACAAATGAACAAAAAATACGATATTTTCTTTAAGTAAAATACGACTCTACAAGTTTAACTGTATACTTTTATTACAAAATCACAGACAGACATTTTTGTTTATATATTATTTATCACAATTATATAATATATAGTTTAATCACTAAGATAAAATCTGTATCAAGACAATAATGATTGAGTATTGTTATTATAAAAACGACAAATAATTTCATTTAAGCAGGGCTGCTTCAATTAAGACCGATTGTTTTGATACACTGTCTGAGAACTCGCTGCGGACACACATATATAATGAATAAACTCATTAGTGACTATTGTTGTTTGAAGGCTGTATGAAAACTAAATTCCTTCATTATATATTATTTTTTAATGCTTAAGTGGGTGGACGAGCTCACGACTCATCTGATGTTAAGTGGTCACCGGAGCCCATAGACATCTACAACGTAAATGTCGCCCCCACCTTAAGATATGATTTCTAAAGTCTCAGTTTTCAGACTACAACGACTGCCCCGCCCTTCAAATCGAAACGCATTACTGCTTCACGGCAGAAATAGGCAGGATGGTGGTACCTACCCGTGCGTACTCACAAGACGTCTTACCACCAGTAATTACACAATTATAATTTTGCGGGTTTGATTTTTATTACACGATGTTATTTCTTCACCGTGGAAGTCAATTGTGAACATTTAATAAGTACGTGTTTCATTAGATAATAAGAAATGATGAGCTTCTCTAATTCATGTCTACTATAACAATAATATTTGTCTTACAGAAAGCTAAGACGACGAATTCTTAGAAATAAAACTAATAATAAAACAAAATAAAAAAATTAAATAAAACTTACCGTGTAAGTGGAAAGAAATCAGCAGTTTTTCTAGGCAAGATCTTTAAACTGCTTGTGAGGATTTCGCCATAAATAATTTCTAATGACTGTATAAAAGGTAATGTGCAGTTTATTCGTGCCTGTGGGTATTTCGTGGTAATTATCCTTGAACATATTATTTCTAAAACAGGCTTACATGACTCTAATGTCTTACTTTTCATATCATTCCATGGCAGCGAATGATAGTATTTCACGTACTATCATTCGCTGCCATGGATTACTTCAAATTTTGTATACCTAATACTTGAAGCCTCAACATAGCAAATTACTAAATCATCCCCTAAAATGTACTGCGCCTTGTAGGTAATTTTTAAAATAAGGATTTTCTCTATAAATCAATATTTTCGGTGATGTTGTTATTGTTAAAAGAAAATACCATTTTAATTCGCTTTCATTAACGAAATAGCCGCAGCGGAGCCGGTGTTTCTATCCCGGGAATTATGTCGGAACTGGCCCGGGATTAGCCCACTCGGAGCCACGGAACTCGCGGGCTAAGCCCTGGGACAATGCAACGCCCATTAAATCACAATACGGCTTCCACGAATAAAGCAGAACGAGTCGCCTGATGTTTGAATCACTTGAACGCGTTCAACTCCTCGCATTCATGCGCGCCTGGTGTGCAAACGAAATATGAAAAATGAAGTCTAAAGTTCATGACGTGAATTGATGAACAAGTAAATGCACAGTGAATGATTTATAGAAAATGTGAGATGGGAAATGATGCCATTTTACTTGTGTAGTACGGTAACGTTTTCATGACGTTCACACTCGTCCCTATTATTTATTTGCATAGGCATAAAGCGCGAATGATGTATGCTAAATAAAACGCGCGCGGGAATTCAGTTCGAAATGAGAATTCTGCGTATTTATGTGGTCCTGGTACTTTCGCGTTGAATAATTTACATGATTGCCTGTCACGTCACATGCTCTTTGATGCTGGTTGAAATTTAAATTGTGTTCACTAAAATTATTCATGCAAATGAAAACGTTTTTGAATTAATTTAATATTCACGGATTTTTTTCTTAAAAATATATATATACAAAAATACATATATAGGTATATATGTACATCAAACACTATGGAACCATATACGCAGTTTATCGGCAACTTTATCTTATTTGTCTAAACTAAAACATTCAGCCAGCTTTGTTATAAAAAAGTTCTTTTGGATTTTACTACATGGTGCATATTATTGCAGAAAAAAACATATTTTTACTTAACTTAACCAAATCACGATGTAACAAAATATAAATTCTGTTCATTTTTCTTTTTGCTTTCGGTACCATATCGAGGTTAATAAATTAATATTGTTATTCATATCGTACTCTTCAAAGTTGAACATGTTGATTTATATGTAAATTACTAATGGCAAAATTTATACAATCGATGATATTCTTGTGGCGAAATAAGATCGAAATAGGTAAGTCTCAATGCAAATTGGCAATTTGAACGAATGAACGGGGCTTTGATATTCAATCCGCGTTTCAATTAACTTCAATGGAAGAGTATCGTTGATAACAAGTTGTTGCGATGCGGGCGGGTCGAGTGCAAGCCTAATCCGCGTTCGTAATTATCGCTCTACCTGCGTGCGACTATGCTCGCCTGGTACATTCAAATCGTATCTGTTATGGTTTCCATAGCTTTTTCCAACGATGTTTCCCTAGTAAGAACTCAAATGGAATTCGATGCATGCTTTTTTCCTCATGCCACACTGAAATAGCGTTTTTTCACAAATCTTTTGCCTCTTTTTTTCTTATTACCTTATTTCAGAGCAAGTATAAAAGCGAATACATGAACACAAACAGTAATCAAGAGCATAATTCCTCTTTCATAACTGGGACTGCATATAGAGTTGTATTCTAAAGAGACCTTTCTCTCTTGCACAAGTTTAAGAGTTGCTTCAGATTAGGGCAAAACTCATACGTTGTTTTGGCATCATGATGAAATATTAACTCGGTCGTACCTAGTATGTTAATTAATTACAATGGCTTTCCTACGGCTTATGTTACATTTGTATTTGTCAATGCGTATAATAGATTCATTATTAATTCAATGTTTGAATTGTGTCTACTAATTTCGTAGAGAAACGAACAACGCTATTCCGACGTAACAATAATACATTGAATTGTAATCGGGTTTCGAGAATTTGAAATAGTTTTACGGCGATCTAAGGAATCCTCTCGTTTGATCATTTGATCGAATTTACCAGAAACCTAACTGTGAAATAGATTTTGCGATTCGAATTTAAGTTTTTATTAATTTATTGCTCTTGTAGGCAGACGAGCATACGGCCCACCTGATGGTGAGTGGTTACCGTCGCTCATGGACCTCAGCAATGCCAAGGGCAGAGCCAAGCCGCTGCCTACCGCTAAATGTAGTAATGTAGTAGTAGTAATGTTAAGTATGTTTATCTTGTTGCAGATCTCTTGATAGAGATGCTGGGGGTGTTGGCGAGCTACAGCGTCACAGTCAAGGAGCTCAAGCAACTATTTAACGCAATGAAGGCTGTCAATGGAAAATGGGTAAGACTTTTATCTTACAACTAGCGACCCGCCCTCGCTTCGCTTCGGAAACATTAAAACAAACATGAAACCAAAAAAATAAAATAATTTTTTTTTTTAAAAAAGTAGCCTATGTTCATCAGGGACAATGTCGGCTTCTAATGGAAAAAGAATTTTTCAAATCGGTCCACTAGTTTCGGAGCCTATTCGAAACAAACAAACAAACAAATCTTTCCTCTTTATAATATTATAAGTATAAGTATAAGTATAGAGTATAGATAATAATATATTTTCTTTTCATATTCATATCGACGCTTGAAAGGCAAACGTGACTAAGCGACAATAACTGCTTTGTACATAAACAATAGGCACATATTCGATGCGCAAAAAATATATATGTGGGATGCAGGCTTAAGACAAATAAAAGTTTCGCGTTTACTTTCACGTTTTATTAAAATACTATTAATTAAAATAATAATCGTTAATCCTTTCGTGTTCTTCGTGCCTCGTTCGTCGTCGTTCATTTGTCATCTCACACGTCATCCCCTTCCTTTCCCTATATATCGCTGCGTTCACAGACATCGACTTGCATCCATCATATCATGCGTTCAAGAAAACATCATTCCCACATATATTTCTAGGTCTATTATTATTATTATTATTATTATTAATGCTTTATTTCAGTTTTTTTTTTTTTTTTAAAACCGTAACATTTTGTTAGTAATAATTACTTATAATCTATGTTAGTAACTTAAAAATCTAACACATAACTATCATTATATTATACATTTTATTTTTAAAAGAAGAAAATATAACTGACAGATATAAGATTGACAGAACGATGTTACGAAGATGTATGTAGTATTTTTTTGAAAGAATAAAAGATTTGGTTGTTAAACTAAATATCCACTAGATTTCGTCATACCATCCCACATCTTTTCTATTAAAATCTATCTATATCAATTCTATTAAAATCATTTCAATCCTACAAGATTCGTTAAAATAGATTTTTTTCAAGTATTTCAGCTTTAAATTAGTTTACTGTAAAGTTCACGCATTGTCGCTTAGTCACGGTTGCCTTTCAAGCGTCGAATTATGCTGTTTATTTACACTATAGGAAAGAATGATATTTATTAAGTAAAATGTTATTTATTATTTAATCTTTCTAATTAAATTTTATGAATTTTTTTTTCTTTGTTTTTATTGTAGTTAAAAAGTAACAAGTAACATGAACATGGACAAATGCCAAATGCACATTAAACACTTTCAACTAGTGCGCGCAAAAGTTCGTTTCGCATTTGCTTCGTTTTTGTCCCAGTGTAACAAAGACGCTACTCGTTAGCTGCTGTGACATAGTCTCTTTATATTTATGTTTGCTTGGTATCGTCTAGCTATTTCATATAATATTTCAACGTTTTCAATGTAGGAATATTTGATATTATGTCACCATATCATATGGCATATTATTTATTAATCAAATTGAAAAGAAATATTATAATATACTAGCGACCCGCCCTCGCTTCCCTTCTGAAACTGTAATTTATTATTGATTTCTCCACTATATAATGGATGTTATTATACATATAAACCATCCTCTTCAATCACTCTATCTATTAAAAAAAACCGCATCAAAATCCGTTGNTTGATATTATGTCACCATATCATATGGCATATTATTTATTAATCAAATTGAAAAGAAATATTATAATATACTAGCGACCCGCCCTCGCTTCCCTTCTGAAACTGTAATTTATTATTGATTTCTCCACTATATAATGGATGTTATTATACATATAAACCATCCTCTTCAATCACTCTATCTATTAAAAAAAACCGCATCAAAATCCGTTGCGTAGTTTTAAAGATTTAAGCATACATAGGGATATAGGGACAGAGAAAGCGACTTTGTTTTATACTATGTAGTGATATAAAGTAAACGAAATTGCTTAACTGTTTTACTAATTGTTTCTTATTAGATGTACAAAAAAGATACCTAAAAATTAAAAAAAAGCATCAGTTTTAAATACAATTATTTTGGTTCTTAAATATTAGTAATATTAAAATCGAGATAATTTCCATTTAAAAATTACAAATTTGCAACTAAAAACTAATGTAAATCCTATGTTGTGCCTTTCACTGAATAAGTGAAACACACTATTTATCGGTATTACATGTTTACGTACCACAACGTATTTTGATTTGAAATTTAAATCTCATTTGTCAATGTCTGACCAGCCAGATTGACCGGTTTGGTTGTTTATACAAAAAACGAGCGAAATATCAAGCCATTCGTGTTTTCGAAGTAAGGCTTTTCTTGTAAAGTCCAAATGCTTGTTGGTACCTGAATAAAAAAACTCGCATTTTGATTTTGCAGCCTAATGCCCGAAATGACTGAATCGATTTTAAAGTGATTTTCATTAGTAAAGAAATTATCAAATTGTTGCTATAATCTAAACATTGTTGCAGCCTCGACACTCAGCCAAGCTGCTAAACGTGCTCCGACAGATGCCACACAGGAACGGACCCGACGTCTTCTTCAGTTTCCCGGGACGCAAAGGATCCGTAAGTATTCCAATAATATATTAAGCTATTGCATAGCTTTTATAGCGGACTTTGAGCGCGGCGACCGAATCAAGAAATTTCGTAAAGAAAATAAAGCCGAACACCCCCCACTCCACCTACCATGTGGTTCGCGTACAACACATTCACACGTTGCGCTTGTGTAGTATTGTGACGTCGCACTGCATGCGCATCATGAAAAGTCTGCCCATCTCTCTCTCTCGCGCGGTCTAGCTTTAATATGAGTGTGAAGGGAAAAGTTAATGTTTTGCTTTTGTTAATGTTTATAAATATAGCGTGGTCTTATTTTATTAGTGTTTTAATATTAAATCATTATTGTCTAATTATACTTGCATAAGTTGATAAAAAATGCTATGCAATAGCTTTACCGCGGCAGTCCCCGAGTGCCACGCGTGTTTTTTTTTAAATCGAATATCCTACGTGAATTGATGATCGGATTAATAATATAGTCACTTTAGTAAAGCAGTGGCGAAAGATCCAGTAGTCTTTGGTAGCCTAAGGGGCTATTCCAACGCGTGGTTTGATAGGTGAGCTAACGGGGCTCAATCTGGGAGAACTTGCTTACATTAGCCCCAGCAAGAGCAGCGAACATCGTTGAATCTACCATCGGATCGAAATCGCGACCCACCCAGATCCGGCAAGAAACTTAGTTGGTTGTTTCTATATGTTAGGGTGTACGATTATGAAATTATTTCTCGCAAAATATGATAAATTTCATTTCATTTTACTTAAATATAATAAAGTATAAAACTGATTAAGAAGTGACGAATTAAAAAAGATTTAATTGGAGGCGCCGGGTATCGATCCCGGTACCTCTCGCATGCTAAGCGAGCGCTCTACCATCTGAGCTACGCCCCCCGTTGATGCGGACAACAAAATTACGATCCACATATTATGATATTGTAAATCAACCAGTAAAATTTAATCAAGTGACTTGTCTTATCTCTGATTACAAAAGATATATCGGCTTTCAATTCAGTACTATTCATCTGTAATTAATGATACATTATATCTTTTTGTCGCAACTGCTATATGTATAACAATTATGGTATAGAGTCGTAAGTTACGTAAAAACTCATGTATCTAATGCGTTCAGCTACCTAATTCGTATCCCGTATAAGAAAAGTCCTCAGAAAACTCATTTCCACATCATTACAAAGTTTCTTTTAAAAAAAAAAAACTTGTACACAATTACATTGTAATTTATTTACATTGAATACACAAGTCTCCCGTAGGAAGTTCTACTACAAACAAACTCGGCGGATTGATAAAATCCCCGCAGTACACATTGTAGGAGAGCTCCCGTCTCGAAGTTGGGCAGCTCTCGTGGAAAATATCCAAAACTCCTGTTTTGGATATTTTCCTCCAGTGTACTAAATACACTGTCACACTGAAAGCTCGTAGGTGACAGATGCGGATACATTTTTTGTTTAACAGTTACAAATTAACAACAAAGAATGTGTATACCGAAAGGCAAGACGTAGTCAATTTTCCCAAAATGATAACGAGATTTTTGTTTAAAATTATTTAGAAAATTACATTATGCACCATGAACACACGATGTATGGCAATAACCGAAATTTTACTGCTTATTTTTAGTGTATAATAAATATAAAAGTACATACAGGCTTAATTGATATATTTCATCATATTAGATATTTAATTCGCAAAAAATGGTCTTTTGTTTTTGTAATGCCTTCTAGTCTCATATAACACGGTTTCGCTCAGCACGGGACTATGTAGAAACGTATATATCGTGATATAAAAGGATTACATATATATCCTTGGGCCCACGGTTCGCAGTCGCTCACCAGTCCCACATACCCCGCGCGTCCCCTAAGCGTGGGGACCTCGTAGGAGGTTCGGCCCCCGGCCTGAAAAAAAGGGTTGTCTGTATCTACATAGGTTAATGGCGGCTGTCCTTCAGTCTACCCCACCCTTTCGAACGGAAGGCGCGATTGCTTCGCGTCCGATGTAATGGCAGATGGTAGTAAATGTGCGGATGCTAACAAACGCGGGCGACATTCACGATTTGATGTCGTTCCTTATCGTTAATCCTTAGATGAGTAATGAACTCGATTTTAACCCACAGACACAGCCCACTGAGTTTCTCGCCGGATCTTCTCAGTGGGTCGCGTTTCCGATCCGGTGGTAGATTCTGCGAAGCACTGCTCTTGCTAGGGCCAGTGTTAGTACCACTCCGGTTTGAGCCCTGTGAGCTCACCTACTCGTTCTGTGAATCTAGTATAACCCCTTGAGGTTACTAGAATAGGTAGGAAAAAAAATCGACTTTGTACAATAAAGATTATAATGACGAGCTTTCTAAATGTCATGGGACCACTAATGTAATAATTTATATTTGTATTCAGTTTTAACTTTATACAACATTTGAAATATTAAAAGTAACTATGATGATCGTAACTTACCATACTGCATTTATGGTGTCGGTATTACTTGGCAATGTAGATATCGACGCTTGAAAGGCAAACGTGACTAGGCGACAATAACTGCTTTGTACATAAATGATAGGCAATAACCATATTCAATGCGCAAAAAAAAAATATTTTTAGGTTTATTAAAATCATTTCAATCCTACAGCTAGATTCGTTAAAATATAATTTTTTTCAGGTATTTCAACTTTAAATTAGTCTACTGTAAAGTTCACGCATTCTCGTTTAGTCACGTTTGCCTTTCAAGCGTCGATATATATTATTTCTTTATTCTTCTCTTACAATGAATTTGTTACGGATACAAGCTGCTGTCGTCAGCTGTGACAGCGCCCTTAAGAGAATCGAAAATATAAAACACTGCTTTCGCTCTATACAGAGTAGCTTCCGATCGGAAGTAACTCGGAGTGTGTTTTCTCAACTGAGTAATAGACTGAGTTTGACGCGCTTCTAGTTTTGACATTGTTAAGTTTTGAAATTGTTTAGATGGAGTCAAAATAACTTATAATTTTTCGATCAAATATTACTATTGCGTATATTTGCTGACTGGATAATTTCTCACCAGATGACCAGTTATGTGATTCCACGGTCACGACCCATTGAGTTTTTCGCCGGATCTTCTCAATAGGTCGCGATTCCGATATGATAGATGCATTTACATAAAACCAAAATTTGCCTCCGGGCCACAAGTAATCTCTCCCTCCTAAACATAGTCGCATCGCCCCATCCAAGTATATCGCGCATCTTTTTATTCAGAACACGATATCTTACCAGGATATTTTTATCCTGACAATTAGACGATTGTCCACGAGTACTGATACCTTGGATATTGCCCAACAGAACTAATTAATCAGGCTATGAGGTTGGTAGTAGGACATTACTCTGAAATATAAAAGAAACCATCGTTAGTATTTTGAAGAAAAATTAAAGTAGTATCGTTTAAAAATGAGTTCTTTAGATATATCAGCTATCCATGTGTAGAAAGGCGAATAGCAACAAAACAAATGCAATACAATTAGGCATTTCGGTTTCGTTAACCCGTGCACAAATCAGCACACCTAAAGTTTCCTAAATAACTCACAACCCTTGTTTAAAACAATAATTGATACAAGTTTCACGGAGCACCTGCCGCCCCTGACAATATTTCACACGAAACGAAGAGAAACTGCTTTGTATTAGCAACAGTTTATTTATTAACAGCCCCCCTCATATTTCAAGACGGCGGGCGGCAGAAATTGCTGTAAAGCGAAGTGGTTTCCTTTGAAAATGTTTTTAAATAATTACGGGTATTCGATAAATCTTTGGTCAGTTTGTTTTCGTTCTTTTATTGTCTAGGCTACTGTAGGTTGGCCGCTAACTTTGAGTATTCCGATCTAATTTATACCACGCGATGGCTGTTTACAACTGTTCTCCCTTAGTGATGGCCGCTATTTTTGGACGTTTCGATATAATTGGCTAATTGGCTTGACTGTATGTTTGAATTCGGAACGTCAAAAGTGTCCACGAGCGACGTCCGCTATAACAATTTCCCCTTTTTAATTACAGCCGCCAAGGGCGACGCATAGATTTCATATATTCATATATCTTTAATTTGTCACATAGGGACTTTTTTTTATTGCTTAGATGGGTGGACGAGCTCACAAGCCCACCTGGTGTTAAGTGGTTACTGGAGCCCATAGACATCCAGAACGTAAATGCGCCACCCGCCTTCAGATATAAGTTCTAAGGTCTCAAGTATAGTTACAGTTACAACGGCCCTTCAAACCGAAACGCATTACTGCTTCACGGCAGAAATAGGCAGGGTGGTGGTGCCCACCCGTGCGGACTCACAAGAGGTCCTACCACCACTAATAAAGATATCAAAACCAATAAATACAGTCCACTCTCATTTACCATAACGCAACATATGGTCCTTCGGCGTCACTATTCTGCATCAACTAAGCTATGAAGAGCTGAAACCCGAGCGCGGTAGTATTGGGAAGTACATGCCTATTACTGCAATGCAGAGCTTTCAAGGTAACACAGCTTTTAGTTAATGAAGCGACTAGGAATATGTAAATCCCTAATTGTTCTGACGGAATATGAGAAAAATATTTTTAGTTATTAATATAAATATTTTTCTTATATATTCTCTCTCAAATTCTCAAAACTGACCACAAGCTAAACTGATAGAAAATAGTTTAAAAAAAAACACCGCAAAATGGTGTCCGTGTTTGGTGTCATTTTTCATTGTTACACTTTATTCGGTGTAACTCCTCAGCCCCCAGCCAAACTAATCTCATCAATAACGTGTGATAAAGAACTCGGTTTCAATAGAAAAAGATAACAAAAAAGGAAACCGCAGTTAATTGAAAATGCATTATTGAGGATATCTCAAAAACTACTGGTTGGATCTTGGTCACATTTAAACGTGTCATGCCATTTAAATGTCCCGTGTGGTCCATGAGAAACACCAGCTTTAAGTTTCTTTTTATTTATTTATTTATTAGATGTCTGGACGAGCTCACAGCCCACCTAGTGTTAAGTGGTTACTAG